TTAGGGTTCAGGGTTTAGGCTGTTTGCAGTGGGCAAGGGGGCATCTGGGGATCCCTTGCAGAAGTTTAGATCTGCCAGGAGTTCGAAGTTTTCGTTATCGGAGGCCGGTCAGAACAAACCGGCCAGAAGTCTGAGTACGAGCGACCTCCTCAGTCGATGGCCCGTTTGCTATTTCGTCCATCTGCCCAATTCTGTCAAGGACTTGGCTCTACCAAGTGCGTGGTGCTGCACACATTGCGGTCAACTCGGGCACTCTTGCCCTAAACGAAGGATGTTGCTGTATTGTCCAAGCTGGTGCTATGCCCAGTTGGACTGCCGGTCTGCAGTATCGCTTGTTTTCTTCGCACACGCTCACCCTGGTCTTCAAAGGTCAGCCTTTCGATGTCGCTAGGGCTGAAGGTCTCTCCCTCAGTCGAGCAGTGTACCGCCATGTATCCCAAGCGCCAGCATTCTTCGAGCAAGCCTAGGTTCGATCGGCCTCGTTCTCCGACAGAATAGCCGTGGCAACAAGCCCACAAACGGCAACGGACACGCATGAGTCCGCACCGGTCCGCCGCTCAGTCGCTATGTCGCCCTGCGTGACACGAGTGTGACACGCAGGCGCGAGTTCTTTTGGAAAGGGTGTTTCCATGAAGTCTCAGGACGACTCCGACAGGTTGTGGGAAAGCCGCAGACCACGAAATCGGGGGGCGCCGACTCTTCTGTGAAGAGACAAGATCTTTTATGCAGCCAACAGGGCTACACCTCTCAAGCTGCGAGTCTAGGAGTGAGATATCATCGTACAGTCGTTGTACATCTCACGCTCAGCCCAGAGAAAAGCCGGCTACAGTGTGTTTCCGTTAGGGGACGATGCTGGCGAGTTTCAAGACGCAGAGACGGACAGGTGCTTCTTCGTGGTTCAGTATCTGCTCGACATAGGCGCGAAGCTTGGTTGGCTACCACGGTGGCGGCGACTTGCACCAAGTTCAAAGCTGGGTTCAGGTGTCATTGCTTGGGAAAACCTTATCCACGTCTCGAGCTCAGAAGTTGCATGCACACTTCTCTTTGTTCGCTGCAATGGTGCATCGGAGTCGTGTAAGTAGTTTCTTACCTGCAACTTGCTCCAAGGCTGGCTGCAATGACATCCCAGCAAGCCTTGCAAGCAATGCCGCCCATCCATTCGTAGCGGGCTTAGCGGTGTTGGGCGCCGGTGGATCCAGCACATCTTGCCTACACTCCCTGCCTCCTTTTGTAGGGTCGGCTGCCCTCTTCTGCCTTCTCTCCCTTCTTCTAAGTCAGGTCTAGATCGGCTTGTGGATTCCCATCTCGCTTCGGGCAGGCTTGCGGAGTCGAGCGGGTCGTCTGGATGGCCTGTTTGGTCATGGCCACTCTTATAGAAGGAAGGGTGGAACGGCGGAGACAACAGTCACTGTCCATGCCATGCTGGAGTTGCCATGTGATTCGACAGGCTACTTCCTCTTCATTCTTCAGAGCTACTGTCAGGACACCGTTGGGCTCTGTGGTTGCTCTGCTCGGTTCACTGCGGCCTGGGAAAATTGTCAATTGCTTCTCAGCTCTTGTCAGGACGTGGTCGTACACCTGCCCACCAAGGCGTTTGGTGACCTGTACGAAAAATCAGAGGCAACCTCCGTGCCGAGTCCCTGATGCCTTCGCTACAGCTTGCTGGTCCAAGTGCTGAGAATGCATGCAAGATAGTGCTACCGTGTGGATAGCATGAAATCTACGACACCAAGTTCATCACAGGTTGTGGCACATTGCATGTGTTGAATCTTCGGGAGCTGCTGCCGCAGGCTCACGTCCTCAAAAAGCACTTGAACCCCTACAACCATCTCTACGGTGCCTTGCCAGGCTGTCGAGTTCAAGTCTGTAGCGCAGAGAGCAATGTTGCATCGAAAAGGAATCAATGCTATATGTGCTTCAGCAGATTTGGCAACCGGCATCGGCGGTGTCGTGTCGTCGTCAATGGCGGACGATAGGGAGCACCGGCCGTAAGTATCCTGCAGGTCACGGCGAGCTGGCAGGTGAAGCTGTCATGGCAGCATGGAGCTCGGATCCGCTAGACGAAGACACCCGTTGATTACAAGGAACCTCAGGAACCAAGGGATGATGTGATGCCTGAAAATCCAGTTGCCTTCGGAGCCTCTAGCGCAGAGTGGCTGCGTGCCGCCGATGCAGGTGTGAAGGCTTTACCAACCCACATCTCCATGTGAGATTTCGGGTTTACCGGCCAAGATGTCCTTTGAGGGTTCAGGCTGTTGCCACGCAGCATTCAAGGTACTACGAGCAGGAGTCTGCTAGTGCACCGTGCTGGCTTTCATCCGACGCCACACTACTGTTCAACAGGGTTTCTTCGCGCTGCTAAAAAGCCTCGTGCAATCGTCTGGGGCTTTTCAACGAGTGCAGAGACCCTCTGCTTCGAATGGCCAATGTCGAAAAAACAGTTCGGGGCTGAAGCCTAGGTTGTCGTCTCGGCTGGAGGGTTTAAGGTTTCGTGGACATCGCCACGAATGTATAGCAGCTGCCCAGCCTTGAGAGGACCAAGGAGTGTGTGGCCAAGATCGAAAGCAAGCGGCAAGGCCGCCCGTGCACGGGCAGCCGTGAACCCTCAAAGGAGACTCAAAGGAGACAAGAATGGGACTGGCCAGCACCGTAAGGAGTGGGGAGGCCGTGAAAGACTGCTGAGCAAGGAATGGCCAAGCCTGAAGGGCTTGGGCCACTCCTGAGGCGGAGTTGGGGGGCTGTTTTCAAACGGAATATCTGCCGATGTTTTGGGAATCTTCGCCCATATTTTGCCGCATTAAATCCCAGAGATGCTCCTCCCAACAGCTATCGTTGGCCTTGCGAGATATCCATATGATAGTTTGGAGCTTGGAACGATAGGCCTTGAGCCCCATGTGGCCGTGAACAGCAAGCCCAAGATGTGGCTTGCAGATCGGGTAAGACCTCATCTATGGTAGGCTTCTGTTAGACCACAGCGTGTGATGAATCCCTTCCGAATCGTCCTTTCTAAGGGAGTATCGCTGCACGACTCGTACACGATATTTGGCCAGTGCCCTACGTCAGCCAGCTGTGCTGGGAGCTTTGCATGAGTGACATGCATTCCTGACAAGCGCCTGCGCAGTCATGAGGTGAGAATCACGACATGTCTTTTCCACCAGGATCGTGATGAATGCCTGAGATTTCAGGACGTGTAGACAGTCGTTCGATGAAAAGTTGCCAAAAAAGGGGGAACATGCTGTGGCTTGAGCATTCAGTGGGCGAACCAAAGAATCTATCTTCGCATTGCCTTCCTGCAAGGCTCCAGCGAAAGCGCGACCTATTAAGTGAGAAGCTGGCAGCAGCGCGCGCTACCGCAAACCCTCTCTCGTCTCTCACACTTGCTTCCTTTAGAAAGGAAGTGGTCCTGAACAGCTTGAGCCGGCCGCTGCGAGCAGAATCCTAGGAACCTTTGTATGCCTGGCGCGACTTCCCGAAGCAAAGTAGCAGGACACCCTTCTTCTTGACTCTGAGTTGTGGCCGCCAAACTGCACCGGAGTCCACTTGTGTAGGTTCGTTTGGCCAATGCACCTTTGTAGTCGCAGGCCTCGGCACTGAAGCTGAAAAAGAGCTAGGACAAGTCGAAACAAAGCCCGGCAAGAACAGCTTCAGCACCAAGGTCTCTCAGAGAGAAAAAACTGGGTATCCAGGACAGTTCAGGGCGGCTCCTCGTCGCACCGCCTTCGGCGGAGCGTTCTGAGGCTGTTGCTAGTGGGTTCTCTCCCACTTGTACATCATGCCAGCACGTCACATGCGCTGAGTGTCTTGCGATCTGCTATGGTCGCTCGTGCTCTTCTGTCTTGATCTTAAGTCAGGTAGCACATCATTGCATAATATTGGCAGGCACCAAAGACTTGTGCCAGATGGAAGCCGAAAAATGCATGCAGCATTGCGAACACGTGTATTTGCTGGGGCATACTGGGGCCGGGGATGTGAAGTTTGAACGGCTTTCCGGAGTTCTTGTGGCAGTGCCGAGTCATGGTGCATGTAAGTATATCTGTCTCTCTCTCTCTCTCTCGCCCATCAAGCGTGTTCCAGTTGACTTTGAATCGTAGCAGGCTGGTTTGCGAATGGATGATTTCATGACCTTGCTGGCATATAGGTATTCATCTTTCAGGATGTGGAAAGGCAAACAACCGGGCGGCAAGAATGCGCGCATAAGAAATCCTTTCTGATCGCATCCCAGCAGCGTTTTCGAGCTCAAGCAGCTTCCAAGAAGAAGGGTTTCAGATTTCAGGATTCTGTTTCGCGGCCTGTCATATGGGGGTCTCCGAATATAGGGGACCCTACTATAGTACCCTAAATAGTAGGATCCTTATTATAAGGACCCCAAAAGAAGGTACCCTAATTTTCGGAAACTCCCATATAATCTACGCCTGCTCGACCTGCTGGCTGCAGCCTTGCGAACACGTGCAATTACTGGGGCATGTTGATGTGAAGTTTGCAGGGCTTGTCGGAGTTCTTGTGGTAGTGCCCAGTCATGGTGCATGTCCCTGACGTGGATTGTCCCGCCTTTGCTGCGTCCACGTGCACGGCTTTGGTCGTCGTGGCTGAACCGCCTGGGCCTGGATCGGCTGAATGAGGCCGCCGTGGATGGAGATGTGGACCGCGCTGAGCGTGAATTCGAGACTCTGATTCCACAAGTACCCCTCGAGAAGTCCACCGTCGTCTACAACACTTTGCTGAAGGCAGCGTTCTTGTCGCGAAAGGACGGTTGATGAGCTGATGCCCTGAGTCGTGGCGAGGCCTTCGCGAACCATGGCTCTTCTCAGAAAGCAGCCTGGCTCTACGGGCAGATGCGCGCACGAAGCGTTCGGGTCAATGCCAGGACAGCGCAAAGCAGAGAGAAGCAGAGCAAAACGGTTTTTAGCAGAGAGTTTCCTTCTTCGAGAGAGGACCTATGGGAAGATCATCGAAGCTTATGCCAAGAGTGGAGACTTGGAGTCTGCGATGGCCTGGCTGAGCCGACGCTCTCAGGACTTCAAAGCCGCCTCTCAACAGAAAGTGCGCATGAGTCCGCATGAGCTCACATAGTCTTGATCTTTCTGTCTCCCGGCTTCTGGCCGCAAGTTGTCTAAGGATTCCGTTGTCGTTAACATGCTTCTGGATGCGGCTGCTCAGGCCCTTGGGACTTTGTGGCTTTCCAGTGGTACGTAGCAGCGTTGCTTCAGGCTGGTCGTGCCGAGGAGGCGGAGGCCATTTGGAACGAGCCGTCCTTCTTTCGTGATTGCTTCTGTGACTTGATGTGACTTGCATCGGAAGTCCAGGTGAGCCCTGGGCTAGTCGCCGGTCATCAGCTGTGGGTCTGCATGTCAATGTATGTTGCAGGTTTTGTTCTTCGCTGCGAAGAAGATGGGTTTCACAGCAACTCCCCATTCATTTGGCAGCGTCCTGCATTCGCTAGCCAAGGCATTCTGCAGACAAGCTTACCTGAACCTTAGACCCTAAACCCTAAAGCTCGGAAGAGGCCGGGAAGTCGGCGGAAGCCATCGCATGGCTGGAGCGTATGGCCGCTTGGCTTCGTTCTAGTAGCTTTCTAAGTCGCCGGAGGCGAGTTTTATAAATGGTATAATTGAATATATATTTATACTACTGGGAATTGGTACTATTGAACTAAGATACTGGTAAAAAGTAGATATTTCTACTACTGGTATAAGGTACTAATGAACTAAGATACTGGTATGTAGTAGATAATATTCGTGCTAAACCATACTTCCCAGGACATGGAGCAGGTGGAACCCAATGCCATTTGCTACGGAGCAGCCCCGTGGCTGACATTCTGTTAGAAGCTCGGACAGCTGTGACGACCTACGAATCCCAGCCAAATTCAGGGTAGCAGTAGACCCTGTAGAAATGGCCTTCACCGACACGAAGCCGACTCGCACGCAAATCCTCGAAAGCAAGGTGATTGATGCCTGCGCGAAATCAGGGCAGCCGAATGCCGCAGTCATGGTATTTCAGCAGATGCAACTTCGGAAGCTTCAGCCGGACCTTGTGGTGTTCGGCGGCATTGTGCATGCCTTCTCTCAGCTGGGACAGGCTGGACCTGAGCTGTGGTTATCAGGTTCGCTAGTCCTATTTGCCAGGATCTTTTTTCCGGAACAGTCCCCCGCATCGGCTTTGCCTTTCTCCCGAATTCGTGTGCTTAGCTAGCCGCCTAGCCCGTCCTGAGTCACCTTTCGAGGTTGCAGATGCGGCATTGTGGTTGAAGGAGGCCGAGGCTTCGAAACTGAAGCCGAATCTCATCATCTACAACAGCATCATCTCCGCCAGCGCACGTGCTGGAAATCCCAAGCAGGCCGACGAGGTAGTTGTGAAAGCTTGCGAGAGATAACATCTCTAAGACTATTCGCGGTTCAATGTGTGCTCCTACAACTTTGTGTTCGATGCCCTCCAAGGAGCACTGTCAGCACCGTGTATAGTTTGCAGGTTGCTTGAGAAAGAAGCTTCGCCCAAGACCGTCCAGGGGGGAGACAGGCGAAGGGAACACCGGGCGCAGAGCTGGTGTTGAGCAGGGGGGCAGCAACAACAAGAAGATGCTCCAACTACTCCTCCTCCTTCCCTCCGCCTCCTACCAGGACCACCACCCTTCTACAACAACAACAACTACTACTACTACTACTACTACAACAACTACTACTACTACTACTACTTCTACTTCTTCTACTACTACT